ATTAAACATAAAACCAGATAACTTGTGACGCTTTCCATGCCTGCACTTTGACACAGATCTTTTCAGGACCTCTGACTCATGAGATGTCTGAACTCTCCAAGAACCCTGAATGGGATGTGTATTACAGACAGAAGATCTAATATCATCAAATCAGCACATTGTTATTCATTGGTGGACCAACTGCAGAGTCAATACRCATTTAATCACGGGCTGAAGGCAATTAAAGCAGGAGGGTAGGGCAGGGGTGCTATGTTAATTAAAGAGCCAGGCTCCCATGGGAAGCTCTGTGGCTAAATATCACCACAATCAAAAGCCCGAGCAATAATCCATGATGAGTTATTCACACGCGGCCGTGCTGTCAGATCCTGTCTGTAAGRACAACAGAAGCAAACCTTGTGATTTAAAAAGTTTTAATATCAAGTGTTGAGGTAACTGACATCATCCCCTGTAGTAAGTGTTTGTCATATCAAATCCATTGGCTCATATCTTTCCATGTCTTTCCTTTTTCCGCAGTCAGTCTGTGATTCAGGGTTTGCTGCTGTCTAATCTGTATTCCACGCAGAGGRGAGTCTTCAGGATTACGTCTGCTGACCTGAATTCGTCCCAAACGACAGGTCAACCCTGCGTTTTCATTATTCTCACGTTTTACAGAGCTACAGTGAAAGCCTGCAGGCAAATCTAAAAAAGGCCTGCATCTCAATTTCCCATCCTTCTGTTTCATTTATGTAGAGGTCACAACAATAAAACAACATACTGGTTTTTAAACATAGATTCACACAATAGATTTAAACCATCATTAAAAAACATTTTGCAAAAGGTAAATGTTAAAAAATTAAAGTAAAAAATGGCTAACATTAAAGCAAAGAAGCTTTCCTGCAATCTCATTAACATTTTGCATTTAATTATTTTTTTTATTTATCTAATTGTCTAAAACAATTTAGCTTAGTTGTAGAAGTGTTTGTTTATAATAAACTTTAGTTAAAGGTAAGCCAAAAGGCTTCCTAATGATTAAGCACCTTTTATGTAACAATACTCAAACAAACCTAATGACATTTTAGTTTCTCAATTGACTACTGTTAAAAGGATAAAACACAATTAATTGCAAAAACACTAAAAGCTAACGCTCAATTCAGTCACAATTAAACATGGAGGAACCAGACCCAAACATTTCTGGGTCAGATACTGAGCAACAGGGCTCGGAGGACATGCTTGCTACAGTTCTAGCAGAACTGTCTATGGCAACGATGGTCCCAGATTTTCAAAGTAAAATAAAACAAATAAATGCTGAGAGCCTAATGAAACAAAATATGCAAACAGCAAAGCAAATGCTAACAGATGATGACGTTCGGCATTCAAAAACACTGGCGAGACTAGCATTGGAAGCTAAGTTGAGACTGATTAGAGCTCAGCTAAAGAAATC